AAGTATCATAATCGAGTCTAGGGGTCAGGTGTAACTTTCCAGTTTTGCCCATCTATCTCTAAGGTCCAGGGCAATACTGGAAATCTGGTCCAGTTCAAGGATTCGAGTAATCCCATACTCTCGGGCTGACGCCCTCTCCAAATTGGCGAGCACTTAAAATGCGGTCCTCGGCCGCACTGTGCACATGGGAAGACTAGACCGGCCTTCCATAGAGGACATCCAAGTCCTACCTGTGGAAGCTGAACCGTCTTGGATGGATCCTATCATTGACTTTCTATTGAAGGAGAGGCTACCCGATGACAGGAACGAAGCTCAGAAACTCCGACGACAAGCATCACACTGCACCTTGCTAGAAGAAACGTTGTACATGAGGTCCTTCACCTTGCCCTACCTCCGATGCCACTGTAGGGAGGAGGGCAAGTACGTGCTCTGGGAAATTCACGAAGGCATCTCCAGCAATCACCTCGGCGGCTGGACCCTAGCCCAGAAAACATTAAGGCAAGGGTACTTTTGGCTGACACTTCACAAGGATGCGGCCGAGCTGGTGCGGAAATGTGATTAGTGTCAGACACATGCCAACCTCTGCCATTAACCAGCCACCACCCTCTCGGCCCTCAGTAGCCCCTGGCCCTTTGCCAAGTGGGGAATGGACCTCCTCGACCCCATCCCTCAAGCAACGAGAGGCAGGAAGTACCTCGTCGTTGCCATGGATTACTTCACTAAATGGGTGGAGGCTGAACCCCTAGCCACTATTATTGCGCGGGCAATTCAGAACTTCTTTTGGAAGAACATCATTTGCTGCTTTGGCCTCCCCCACATGCTGGTCACGGACAATGGAAAGCAGTTTGATGATGCTAAATTCCGAGAATGGTGCACCTTCCTTGGCATCAGGCAACAGTACACCTCGGTGGGGTACCCCTAGACGAACAGCCTGGCCGAGATCACGAATAGAACCATCTTGGACTGGCTAAAGACCAGGCTGGATAGAGCTAAGGGCCTGTGGGCCGACGAGCTACCCAGCGTCCTCTGGGCGTACCGAACCACACCTCGGACAGCGATGGGAGAAACCCCCTTCGGTCTGACCTACGACACAGAAGCAATGATTGATAACTCTACATTTTGATGCCTTAAGAACATCAATTCAGGGGTATTTTCAGCCTTAGAATAGTCAAGATGTGCCATTTTCCCAGTTAAATGCAATGTTGTGGTCTCTAAGGGTATTTGTGCAAATTCTGGGGAAAAGTGGAAAGTTTTCATGGCTGAAATGCAGATTTTGGGAAGATGTGTGAAGTCCAGTTGAGAGAGGGGGTGCTTTTGTGAAAAACTGAAAGCAGGAGGGCGCCTCTTAGCTGCTAAACCCAGTTTGACACCCCTCCTACTGTATTAGCATGCTCCCCACGCCTTAGCAAACCCTAGGGCACCTTTTAACCCATTCTTTTCACTCTTAACAAACCCTAGCCACCTCTAAGTGCTAAATCCTCACTTTCCATCCCTTCTAATGTCCACCATCCATTCTAGGGCACTCTTTTTAGCATTCTAACCCTAGGAGCCACCTAACTTCTAATCTTCACCATTCAGACTTTAGCCATTAAATCTCAGC